GACCCTTTGACCCGGTTTAACTATTTGACCCGTTGACTCCGTCAACAGTCAACGTTGACTTTGACTGGTCAACGGTCAACGTTGACTTTTTGTTGACTTTTTTGGGTTTTCGTCCGAGACCTTCCCAGGCTAATTTTGATGTCCTGAACCTGTTTCTGATGTCTGTTTTTTCAAAATAAGTCATTTGGGTAGAGTTTGCCTATATGTACCCTTTATGTGCTCAAGGGCAATTAATTGCGGCGTTTTCGTCTTTGCTAATTGCGTGGCTCTTCGGCAGCTGAGTAATGTGAGTGGACCCTTTCTAAAATTACATGATTTCATAGTTTAATTGCATAAATGAAAAGCATGCCTTACGAGTTTATGGATTGATTTTATGTTAAGCATGTTTATTGAAACGTTGATATATCGTATTTTCTATAAAAACCATGAACTGGTAGACTATCTGATGGATGACGATAGGATGCTAGAACATGTTTTAGAAACCCCTTTTTATAGTATAGACGATGGATGACTTTATACTATGAAGTGGTTATTTTTTAGAGGTGTAACTATTTGTGCGTACCTAGTGGACACTATGCCACCTGGGGTGAGGATCTGGTGTTGGCAGTTAGGCCGGGAGAAATAATCCTTAGCTACAGGCTAAGGGACACGGAGCAGGCATTGGGCCGGGAGTTGGTAATCTCTGGCTACGGGCGCAGAGACCACGGTGCTGGCAATAGGGCTGTGAGTTATATTTATTCAGTGATCTTACTTGTAGCACACCACACTTACGAGACAATTTGTGAGACGATTGATATTTTGATTTCCGCGATGTTTTTCGGCGATATGTCTTTTGAGATGTTTTTGGCATGCTAGGGTTTTCAGTAAACCTATCACTTATTATGCTAGAAGTTTTCATTATTAAAACTTGGGGGTTAGTATGTTCACAACTGTTTTCGTATTATGTATGTATATAAACTTGGTCCATTCACCTTTGTTTTGCGCCCCCATTCAAGTCTTAGAATCGAGGCATACAATCCCGACGTCAAGGCACTTCAACATCGGCATCTTCGAGCCGTCTCGATGTAGGACCCACTCCTTTATTCATTCAATTTTATATTATTTCTTTTAGTGTTCTAATTAACTGTATACTCTGAACACATTCCTAAATTGTTAATTCATTGTATTTCAATTCATAACCCTTATTTATTTCTTATTCTTAGCTTTTGTATCAATTAATGGCTTTCGTCATCCTCGAGTGTCAGCCAGCACGTGTCTATCTTAGTATTCGGGCAATATCAGGGTTAGGGCATGTCATTTTGTATATGCTTCGAGATCTCATATGTCAAAAATCACAAAAACAAACATTCGAAGATCAAGTAATGGTACAAAACCTTTTGACAGTTATAAACGAAAAATCACGATTTAACAATTATTTTAACTCCGATTTTGATGATTTTTTACAGCTACACTCCTTTATCCTATATGAATACAATGAACTAATTTGATCGTTAATTTAAAATATATATACAAGTGTATACCACAAAATATTATGCCATAGTTAATGAAAGTATGAATAAACTCTTAAGTGTTAGTGAATTTATTGTTTTCATGGGATACTCATTCTACGAAACTAGTTTCAACGATCCAACCATCAAACATGTTTGTATATACTTCGAGATTGTATATGCCAAAAATTGCAAAAAAACAAACATTCAGAGATCAAGTAACGGGACAAAACTTTTCGACGGTTATAAAACAAAAAATCACGATTTAATGGTTATTTTAACTCCAATTTTGATTATTTTTTATAGCTACACTCTTTGATCCTATATGAATACAATGAATAAATTCGATCTTCAATTTAAAATATTTACATTAGTAGATACCACAAAATCTTATGTTATACTTAAAGAAAGTATAAATAAACTCTAAGTATTAGTGAATCTATCGTTTTGATGGAATACGCATTTTACGAAACTAATTTCAACGATCCAACTGTCAAACTTGTTTGTATATGCTTTGAGATCGCATACGCCAAAAATCGTAAAAACAAACATTCAGAGATCAAGTTACGGGACAAAACTTTTTTACGGTTATAAACGAAAAATCACGACTTAACGATTATTTTAACTCCGATTTTGATGATTTTTTACAGCTACACTCTTGACCCTATATGAATACAATGAATGAATTCGATCTTCAATTTAAAATATTTACACTAGTGAACTTAATGAAAGTATGAATAAACTCTTAAGTGTTAGTGAATCTATTGTTTTGATGGGATACGCATTCTACGAAATTAGTTTCAATGATACAACCGTCAAACATGTTTGTATATACTTCGAGATCGCATACACCAAAAATTGTAAAAAACAAACATTCAGAGATCAAGTAATGGGACAAAACTTTTCAACGGTTATAAATGAAAAGTCACGATTTAACGGTTATTTTAACTCCAATTTTGATGATTTATTATTGCTACACTCATTGATCCTATATGAATACAGTGAACTATTTTGATCGTCAATTTATAATATTTACACAAGTGGATACCATAAAATCTTATGTCATGATTATCGATCAAAATTGAGGATTTTGTAAAAGGAATAATATGCAAGTTTTGAGTTCCATTGGCAAGGTTTAAACTTTTGAGAAAGGCTTCACATCCTTGAAAACAAAAACTCTTTCATTTTGCATATCCTTGCACATTTAACATTTTGTAATAGAGTAGTAGTGTATAGATGCTTGTTTATTAGACTCTTATTTTCGAGTGTAGAAGTAGTACTTAAACGACAAATGTGTTTTAATGTTTTGAAGTAATATTTATGTGGCAATGTGTGGTATGTGCAAATTTAAGAAAAAAAAATATTTTTGTTAACGGGTCGCCTGTTAAAGACCCGTTAAGATAATGGGTGAGACACGACACGACCCGTTAAGATAACATGAGTTACGCGAAAACGGTAGACACGACCCGTTTGCTAGGCCTAATTGCGTGGCACCTCATAAACTCATCCTTAAGAAAGATGCAAGAGAGGAAGAAGAAAACACGGGGGAAGACCATCAATATGTCACTTACAACCGACATCGGGTTTCAAAATATTAAAAAAAATAAAATCTATGTCGCTCAAAACCGACGCAGGCTTTAAAATATTTAAAAACAATAATTAATGTCGGCTAGAAGCGACCCCAATACTTTATGTCGCTTAAAAGCGATACTATTTTTTTGAAAAGCGACACCATTATTTAAAAATTATTAAAATGTATGTCGGTTATAAGCGACATAAAATGTTTACGTCGGTTAAAAGCAACATAGACAGTTTATGATGCTTACAGGCAACAGTAAATCCGACGTCATGTTCAGTAAGTGTCGCAAATGTCTTGTCCGTCACTATATTATATTAAAGCAACATCATCCAGTGACACAATAAGTCAATTTTGTAGTAGTGACACACACATATGACGGTTCAGCAATCGATACCTGAACTCCATGGTAGGTAATTTCTATTCAGATGCCGGGCTTAGAAAACTGCACACGTACGAAGATCGATCGATATCTGCACTTGCTTGAGTTAGTTACTTGCTTGAGTTAATACATCTACTAATGGGATAGAAAGAGAACGACAAGGTAATTACCCAAATACTCCCCATAGGGCCGGCCCTCAGGTGTGCGACTGCACAGGACTTCCGACTTTTTAGGGCCTCTAAATTTTAATCCTCTTTTGTAAAGGTTTAGATATCCGTCAAACGCGGGAATGTCAAACGAAATTGTGCTCGGCAAATTTGCCAATTGTTGTTTTTTACTCCCATCTCTCATGGGTTCGAAACCCTGCACGCCTTCATCTTTGTTTATTTTGTTTTTATTTTCCTATTGTGGTAATAAGGGTCTCTTCTGCCATATTGGGCATGTATGGGGGTTCAAATTATTTTGGGGCCTTTTAGAAGATAATAATGAGGTAGATTTTTTTGTTCTTCTTTTTAAATAATATGTCGTTTAATTTGATTCATTAATCTCCACATGGCGTATTTTATTGGTGCATGTTGCTAACATGATGACATGTTAATGGTAAATGGGACGGAATTTAATAGCATGGATTGGTTTAAAAAAAATTGAGGTATTTAATTTATTAAGAAATAAGTTTAGAAATCGATTCGAAACAAGGTTATAGTTCAAAGGTAAAATGATAATTTACTCTACTCTTAATTACTCTAATTTAATGGACGGTGATTAATTTGTAAAGAAGCAGACACATTGTCCTACCTACTAACATTTTAATTTTTTTTATATACAAAGTTGTATTTTAGACTAGGCCCGAAATCTTGCACGGGGCCTCCTAAACATCCGAGCGACCCCGACCCCCTATATTGGCTTCTGCTTCATTTGCACTATGCATACTTATCATCCAATTCATAAATCCCATTTGTAATCGAATTTTCGCAAGCCATGCCGTTAATTTGTTAGAAGGCCACTACTATCAAACATTGGTGAATGAAAAGTTCGGAAAGGCACCGAATTTCATTAGTTTGCTTAGAAGGGTGTCCTATAGGATGTTTTGTCGTAGTACTGTGATCATGAAATATACGCTTTACAAAAACTGAGATTTACAAAGTTGGTACTGATCACTTTTCTCCTAAATAATTTATCATCCATAGATGATGAGCACCACTGTAGTTGGTAGAGAACAAGAAATAAAAATATGGGTGTGTGTGTTGGTACTCTACCAACTCAATTCAATTACTTTTCTCAGTTTCTCCTCATCTGTAATAAAATTTGTGGAAAATCTAACAAGGGTTTCTTTCTTAAACTAAGTTACTATAAAAAATAAAAAAACATCAATGAGAGCAATAAACAGACTGTCAACAGGTTGCATTCATAGACTATCCACTGTTATATAATTTTGCAATCAAGGGAATCAGAAAAGGTGGTTGAGTGTACCTTCTGTAAAGATTGAAGAACACAAAGGTTTTACAGTAAAGCTTTGAAGAAATGAAGAACACAGAGAAGGATGAATCTCAGAAAATGCAGAGAGAAAGAGATCTTTTCTTATTGATCAAGTTACTTACAATACAAGAGAGAATCGGTTTTATATGAGTTATTACAAAGCTTGCTCACTAAGGTACAGTAAAAGACAACTTGTCTAACAACCTCGTGTTAGAACCAATCAAACGTTAGGTATATATTATACAACAATTTGCACAGTTTTATTTCAAATGGTAAAACTCAACAACAAACACAATATATTAAAACATAAACACTTAGTGTAATTATATATAGAATCACAAATCACTGACTTGTTCTTTGACGATAGAGGCTTGCAGAGCAATCTCCTAAGACAGAAACTCGTCCCTACACTAGTGCAGCAGTTCGATGGACGTCTATCTTGCAGGATACAACTATCTAATCCAAGTTCTTGCACTCGAACTTGGATTCTTGGCGAATTGGTTGTGTGGTTCTCAGCCAAAAATGAAGGAATGAATCTGGAAAAACTTAATATCCGTTTCTGATTTTTATTGCCATATATATAATGGCATAAGTTGAACTTCTCCAACCGTTCATCCTTATCAGTTTTTGTAAAAAGAAAACCGAATGCAACTGTTCACTAAAACTGATCGTAACTGTTAAAAAACTGAATCCAAAAAATCAAAAACGTAACTTGTGTTTTTCGTCCATCCGAGCCCAAGAGCCCCAAGGCCCAAGGCCCATCTTTGACATTTAATATATACACCCAAACTCTCCAATTCTAAGGCCCAAGGTCCATGGCTTTGGCCCAATTCTTTTCAAACTATAAGTGAATGAACTCACTTATAAAGACTTAATAAGAAAGATGGTTGGGCGATGTGGGACTCCAAGTCCCACAGAAAACACAAGTTCCAACAATACCCCACATTTTCTATTCAAACTTTAGCAATACCCCACATTTGAATTGAAAAATAAGATGCTAGCTACATTAGTAAAGTACTTCCAGAGAACTTAGATATGATACGCATCGGGATAGGTGTCTTTTGGACTTGAACCTTCTCTAGTGAGTACTTATCGGTTTTACCTAATGATGCAGTGAATTTACTATCTTGAACTGATCATTCTTTGTAGTAAAATCGAAACAATAAGTATCACACATATCACATCTGAACACACGTCAATTCATACGGTTGAGTTCATTTTGTTCCTGAACATATCCTGATTTCATGAGACCTTTAGAGAATTGTAGCCCTACCACTTCTCAAAGATGCGACCCCACATCAATCTCATATAGGTAATGCTAATAAAGAATATCCTGTTCTATTCATCTTAATCATAAGATATTAGCATTATTAAGAATAGTTATTCACCCTTTTCGTCTAACAGGCAACACACTGTTTTCCATCATAAGAATGAGTAATGATTGTGTGTTTCTTACTTTGAGTTTCCCTCAACTAGTTTGCCTATTGAACCTAGACCATGGGATCTCCAATTAGCTAGGTTAGGTTTCCGTCAAGTTATAACTCATTGAGTTGGCTTTAAATCCATTCCCCTCGATGTAAATGCCACTTGATCCTTGGATAGGCCTTTTGTCAAAGGATCGGCAATATTCTCTTTAGATTTAATATAATCAATGGAAATAGTTCCATTCTTGAGTAGTTGTCTAATGGTTTTATGTCGTCGCCTTATATGTCTCGACTTCCCATTATATTCAGCGTTTTTGGCTCGACCTTGTGCAGCCATGCTGTCACAATGTATACATATTGCAGTCACAGGCTTGGGCCAGAATGGAATATCTTCCAGAAAATGTTTAAGCCATTCAGCTTCATCAGCAGCTGTATCTAAAGCTATAAACTCTGATTCCATTGTCGAACGTGCTATACATGTTTGCTTGGATGATTTCCATGACACAGCTGCTCCACCAAGTGTAAATACATATCCACTTGTGGATTTACTGTCTGTGCTCCCTGAAATCCAATTTGCATCACTATATCCTTCTAATACTGGGGGATATTGAGTGTAATGCAAACCATAGTTTAGTGTATGCTTTAAATATCTTAATACCCTTATTAAAGCATTCCAATGATCTCTTCCAGGATTACTTGAATACCTACTTAGTCGGCTTATTGAATAAGCAAGATCAGGTCTTGTACAATTCATAATGTACATCAAGCAACCTATAACTTGGGTATACTCCAATTGAGATACGCTTTCTTCTTCGTTTTTAGTAAGTTTATGAATGGGATCAAAAGGAGTTACTGCAAGTTTACAATCATAATGTCCAAACCTTCTTAGAACCTTTTTCCACATAATGTGATTGAGTTAGGACATATCCATCTGAATTCCTTAGAATTCGAACTCCAAGAATTACATCAGCTAATCCCATATCTTTCATGTCAAAACTGGAATTGAGCATTTTCTTTGTGGAGTTAATCACATCTTTGTTTGTTCCCATTATAAGCATGTCATCAACATATAGACATACAATAACACAAGCATTTTTCGTTTTCTTAACATAAATGCATTTATCACTTTCATTGATTACAAATCCATTCGTAATCATATTATGATCAAATTTTTCATGCCATTGCTTAGGCGCTTGTTTGAGTCCATATAATGACTTAATCAACTTACAAACTTTCTTTTCTTGACCTTTGACAATGAAACCTTCAGGTTGATCCATATATATTTCTTCGTCTAATTCACCATTTAGAAATGCAGTCTTGACATCCATTTGATGTATCTCAAGATTGTACACAGACGCTATAGCCATTAATAACCTTATTGATGCTATTCTAGCTACTGGTGAATAAGTGTCAAAATAGTCAAGTCCTTCTTTTTGACGATACCCTTTGGCAACTAAATGAGCCTTATACTTGTCTATGGTACCATCCGGTCTCAATTTCCTCTTGAAAATCCATTTGTGTCCTATTGGTTTATTTCCAGGAGGCAAATTAACCAATTCCCATGTATTATTTTGCATGATGGATTCTATTTCACTTTGAATAGCTTCTTTCCAATAAGGTGCTTCAGACGATTCTAATGCAGCCTTATAAGTTTGAGGCTCTTCTTCGGTCACAAAAGTGAGGAAATCAGGACCAAAATCCTTTGCAATTTTTGCTATTTTACTCTTTCGTGGTTCCAAATCTTGGATTTGAACTCTCGAAGTTGAGGCATGATTATCGTCATCATTTCTTGTAGTAACCTCATGTACTCTTTTGTTCAAAACATATGACCTATCTTTGTAAGGAAAAATTTCCTCAAAGAACTCAACTTCTGCAGATTCAAGTATAGTGTTTATATGAATGTCTGCAATTTCAGATTTATGAACCAAAAATCTATATGCCGAACTATTATAGGCATGACCAATAAAGATACAATCCACTGTTTTTGGTCCAAGTTTTTGTCTCTTCGGAAGAGGCACTTGAACTTTTGCAAGACAACCCCACACTTTCAAGGTTTTATATGTAGGTAACCTACCTTTCCAGATTTCATAAGGAGATTGATTAGTCTTCTTATGTGGAATTCGGTTCAAAATCGTATTTGCAGCAAGGAGTGCCTCACCCCATAAATTATGTGGTGCACCAGAACTGTTCAACATGGAATTAATCATATCCTTCAATGTACGATTTTTCCGTTCAGCCACTCCATTTTGTTGAGGAGTATATGGTGCTGTTGTTTGATGTATTATTCCATGTGTTGAACAAAATTCTGCAAAGTCATTAGATTCGTATTCACCACCTCTATCCGATCTTAAGACCTTTATTCTTTTGTCTAGTTGATTTTCGACTTCGGCTTTAAATGCCTTAAACATGTTTAAAGCTTCATCTTTACTATGAATCAAATAGACATAACAATACTTGCTGCAATCATCAACGAAGGAAATATAATAGTTCTTTCCTCCACGAGTTGGTGTGGATTTGAAATCACAAAGATCACTATGGATTAAACCAAGTATTTCGTTGGATTTTTCCACTGATTTATATGAGTGTCTTGCATATTTAGATTCTGTGCATATCTCACATTTAGATACTTTGTTCATGGAACATTTTGGCAATAGGCCTAAGTTAACCATTCTTTGAAGAGAACGAAAATTAACATGACCTAATCTTGCATGCCATAATGTAGAGGACTCAATCAAGTAAGCAGAAGAAGCACTTGGCTTGTTATTATTATTCATAGCATTAACAGAAAGTACATTCATTTTGAAGAGCCCCTCAGCCAGGTAGCCCTTTCCCACATACATCCCACCTTTGGTGATTACAAACTTGTCAGATTCAAACACAATTTTGAAACCTTTGTTACTCAGAAGTGATCCAGAAATCAGGTTCTTACGAATATCTGGAACATGCAGAACATTGGTAAGTGAAAGCTCTTTTCCGGAAGTGAGTTTGAGCGTCACGTTTCCCTTCCTTGCAACGGCAGACGCAGTTGCATTTCCCATGTACAGATTTTCTCCACCATCAACAGATTGGTAAGTAACAAATAAATTTCGATCAGCACACACATGCCTTGTTGCTCCTGTATCGACAAACCAGTGATTTGAATTAGTCAATAAATTGACTTCAGAGACAACAGCAACAAATGTGTCTTCTGCAACATTTGCTTGATTGGAACTTCCAGAATTCTGATCCTTCTTATGGCGGCAGTCCTTTGCCCTATGACCTGTCTTTCCACAAACCCAGCAACCTCCCTTGATTTTCTTGAAGGTTTTCCCTTTCACAGCAGTCATTGCTTTCTTTGCAACATCCTTGCCTTTGTTTTTCTGATGGTGCCTTGCCTTGTGTGAGTCACCTCCTTCCACAACATTGGCCTTTGCCTCCAGCGATGAGACATCATACTTCTCATTTTTTCGATGATCCTCCTCCACACGCAGTTTGAGAATCAACTGATCCATGCTCATGTCTTCAGTTAGATGCTTCAGATAAATCTTGAAGTCCTTCCAATTTGAAGGCAGTTTCTCTATGATAGAGCCAACCACAAAACCTTCTTTCAGACCAAGGTTTTCTTCATCTAACTCATGAACAATCACTTGGAGTTCTTCAACTTGCTTGACAACAGACTTGGTGTCACTCATCTTGTAATTCAGAAATTTTCCAATTACAAACTTCTTGGAACTTGCCACTTCAGACTTGTACTTCTTATCCAGAGACTCCCACAGATCTTTCGCTGTCTTATATGATGAATAAACATCATACAGAGAGTCATCTAGAGCATTCAGAATGTAGTTCCTGCATAGAAATTCACTGTGAGTCCAGGCCTCTATAGCCTGCAGAATTTCGGCAGGAATGTCTCCCTCTTCTGGTGCTTTGGGGGACTCAGAAGTAATCACATGACTCAAGTTCAGAGTTGTTAAGTAGAACAACATCTTCTGTTGCCAACGTTTGAAATCAACTCCCTTGAACTTCTCAGGTTTCTCAACATGTTGCTTGACGACACCAACATTTGATTGATCCATAGATTCTGTCTTAGATTGTTAGAACCAATCAAACGTTAAGTATATATTATACAACAATTTGCACAGTTTTATTTCAAATGGTAAAACTCAACAACAAACACAATATATTAAAACATAAACACTTAGTGTAATTATATATAGAATCACAAATCACTGACTTGTTCTTTGACGATAGAGGTTTGCAGAGCAATTTCCTAAGACAGAAACTCGTCCCTACACTAGTGCAGCAGTTCGATGGACGTCTATCTTGCAGGATACAACTATCTAATCCAAGTTCTTGCACTCGAACTTGGATTCTTGGCGAATTGGTTGTGTGGTTCTCAGCCAAAAATGAAGGAATGAATCTGGAAAAACTTAATTTCTGATTTTTATTGCCATATATATAATGGCATAAGTTGAACTTCTCCAACCGTTCATCCTTATCAGTTTTTGTAAAAAGAAAACCGAATGCAACTGTTCACTAAAACTGATCGTAACTGTTAAAAAACTGAATCCAAAAAATCAAAAACGTAACTTGTGTTTTTCGTCCATCCGAGCCCAAGAGCCCCAAGGCCCAAGGCCCATCTTTGACATTTAATATATACACCCAAACTCTCCAATTCTAAGGCCCAAGGTCCATGGCTTTGGCCCAATTCTTTTCAAACTATAAGTGAGTGAACTCACTTATAAAGACTTAATAAGAAAGATGGTTGGGCGATGTGGGACTCCAAGTCCCACAGAAAACACAAGTTCCAACACCTCGTTAATCTAATGACAAGTGGCATCTTTTGAGCCTTTGATTTCATCACTCTTACACCTTCAAAATCAAACTATCGTTTTGCCTTGCATTATTGCATTATTCCACTATGAAGCTCCCAAAATGTCGAATTTGTGAAGATGGAAGAAACGTAACAGCTAGATGACCAAAATTGCGAGACTGCATTGTTCTGCTTAACAACTCACATTAATTAACACAAGGACCTACGAAGTCTATCATACTGATATGGAAGAGATCTTTAATAGAATGATCACAATGAGAAATTCATTCTCAGTGCACAGTAAGATTAAGAGAGAAGAGAATGAAATGCAATCATGACACGTCCCAATTATTCCGATATTTCTCGAATACCAGGATAGGCATGTGCTAGCCAACACTGAGGATGACGAAAGTCATTTATTGAATGCAAATGCTGAGAAAAATGAATAAATAAGACTTATAAATTTAAGGGTAAATTACACAAAACTACCTCAACTATTGGTCTCACGACACTATCATACCTCATCTTTTAAAACTGACAATGTCATACCTCATATTTAGATTTGATCCAATGTTATACATTCTGTCAGCTTGGCGTGAATTTTTCAATTAAATGCTGACGTGGCTTGATCCGGGACCCACCTTCTATTAAAAAAAAATAATAAAATATTATTAAAAACTACAAAAAAATCATTAAATATTTTTTAAATATTAAAATAATAAAGAAAAGTTAAAAAAAAAAAAAAAAACCCCATCCCCACCTTCTCTCTCTTCTCCCCAATCTTCATCTTCTTCCCCCTTCCTGCAACCCAGAAAAAAGAACAAAAAAGAAAAAAAAAACCAATTTGTCTTCCCCCCGCACCCACCCTCAGTTTGTCTTCCCCCCTCCCACACCCCCCCCCCCAACCCCCTCTTCTCCCCGCATCCACCCTTGCACCCACCCTCTGCACCCAACCTCACACCCACCCTCTTCCCTCCACACCCATTCCCCCCATTTTCTCTGCGCCTAGGTTCTACACCCCCGTTAATCGGCCTGGCGAAGGTTTCCCGATTCCACCTCAATGGGATTTGAGTTTTTTTTTGAGTTTTTTTTTTTTTTTTTGGGTTGCAGGTAGTGGGTGCGAGGGTGGGTGCGGAGGGTAAGGAAGACGGGAGGGGGAAAGAAAGAAAGGGGGGGGGTCGAGGAAGATGAAGATGGGTTTTTTTTTCTTTTTCTTTTCTGGGTTGTAGGTTGGGCTCAGGTGGGGGAGAATAGGGGGTTAAGGGGTTGGGGGGGGGGGGGAGGGGGAAGACAAATTGAGGGTGGGTGCGGGGGGAAGACAAATTGATTTTTTATTTATTTTTCTTCTTTTTTCTGGGTTGCAGGAAGGGGGAAGAATATGAAGATAGGGGAGAAGAAAGAGAAAGGTGGGGGGAAGGGGACGAACTGAGGGTTTTGACTTTTGATTTTTTATTTTATATATATATATATATATATAACTTTTCTTTATTATTTCAATATTTAAAAAATATTAAATGATTTTTTTTTTTAGTTTTTAATAATATTTTATTAATTTTTTAATAGAAAATGGGTCTCGGATCAAACCACGTCAGTATTTAACTGAGAAATTCACACCAAGCTAATGGAAGGTATAATGTTGGACCAAATTCTAAAGATGAGGTATGACATTGTCAATTTTAAAAGATGAAATATGATAGTGTCGTGAGACCCATATTTGAGGTAGTTTTTTGTCATTTACCCTAAATTTAATTATGAACAATAAGCATTAAAGGAACATGTTCAGAGTATACAACTAACTAGAATACCAAAGGAAATAATATACAATTGAATGAATAAAAGAATGGGTCCTCCGCTGAGAAGACTCGAAGATGCCAATGCAGAAGTACTTTAACGCCGGGATTGTATGCCTCAATTCTAAGTTCTGAAAGGGGCACAAAACAAACATGAGTGGACCAAGTTGATATATATATAGTAAAACAGTTATCAACGTACTAACCCCCAGGTTTTATGAAACCACATATATATCATGATAAACATAGGTTTTTCGAAACCTTGCATGCCGTGCAATGTCTCAAATCATAACTTGTATATATAATAATCATTAGTGAATGTCCAATAACCCTCAAGCCCCATGCCGGCTCCCCGTCTCTGAGCAAACAGTCAGAGGAAAATACACTCCAGGCCGTATGCCAACTCCCATTCCCTGTGCTAATAGCTAGAGGAAACACACTTCAAGCCCTATGCCAACACCAAACTGTCGCCCGGGACGGACCGAAAACTATCCCTACGCCCCGTAGCGGAATAAGGACCACTAGGTAAGTACAAAACTATTGAACATACATATATTGAAAAACAACTTCATAGTATAAAGTCATCCATCATCTATACTATAAAGAGGTGTTCTAAACATGTTCTAAATATCATATCATCATCCATCGGATATTCTATAAGAACAAGGGTTATAGGAAAAATAGTAATAATTCAAACTAGCCTCAGTAAGCATGTTATCTTATAAAACGTTTCATAAAACATAGTCATCAAATCATGCTTTTCATGTATGCATTTCTACTATTAAAACATGTATTTTTTAAGGAGTCTACTCACAGATACTTAGCCGCCGAAGAGCCACACAACTAGCGGAGACAGAACGCCACAATTAATTGTCTCTACGCACATAAAGGGTACAGTTAGTTAAACTCTACTCAAACGATTGAATTTGGAAAAACAGACTTCAAAAACAGGTCCAAGACATCGAAATTAGCCCATGAGAGGTTCGAACGAAAACCCAAAAAGTCAATGGTCAAAATCAACATTGACCAATCAAAGTCAAAGTCAACTTTGATCAACGGTCAAACATGGTCAAAGTCAACGGGTCTAGGCTTAGGTAGATCCGAGTTGGGCTTGAGCTTTGGGCTTGGGTCCAAAGGGTTTTAGGCTTAAGGCCCGGCCCAAAGGAAAAAAAGGGTTTAGGGTTTTAAGATAAATGAAAATAATAAGGTTATTGGGTTTAGGCTTCAAGGGGTTAATACGCTAGAGGGCCTAGGGTTTGGGCTTAAATGCAAAGGCCCGAAGGCCTACTCCTACACGGCCCTAAGGCCTTAGCCTTTAAGGGTTTTGGGTTTGGTCCTAACTAGCCTTAGGCTGAAGGCTTGGCCTAATAGCCATTTGGGTTTTTATAAAATGAAATAAATAAATATAAATAGATTAAAGGATTTGGATTGGGTTTAAAAGGATAACGGGCCTAAAGCCCGAGTTCTAAAGAGCTTGGGTTAGTAAAGAGGGCCGATGCTAAAGGCCCAAAGGCCTGGTGTGGTTGTTGCTCGTTGTAGCTAACCGTAGAAGAATACCGAAATTTGAGGTTTTTTCGTCGGAAAACTGAGCCAACTTTAAACATTTATAACTTTGTCAAACCTCAACGAAATCAAGTGAGACAAAAATGAAGGTTGTAGTACTCGACGAGACAAAGAGAATGGTACATCGCACGACGTCTAACGCGCTATGGTTTGGCCGGAAAACGCCTCGAAAGCCTCGGAGGTTGCTGGAAACTGGGTAAAATTCAAATTGATATAACTTCTTCAATACTAAACGAAATTGGGTGACTTAAAAAGGAAAGTTGTACTACTCAACGGGATGAAGAGATTGATATGGATGTGTGTATATATGTATGGGTGCGTGTGTGTGTTCTTGTCGGAAAGAAGAGCATCGAGAGGGAGAGAGATAGAACTGAGACAAAGAGAGCTTGGGGAGAAGGAGAGAAGAGAGAGAAGGTGAAAGGCTTGGACCCGAGGAACAACAAACAAAAGGTGGGCCCCTTGGGCACACAACAATTTTAAAAGAGAAATATCTAGCCCAAGATGCAAATTTCACGTAAATACCTCTTTTGTTCCGATAAAATCGGGACAGAATGTTACAAATCAAGTATCAGCAATGGAGCTAATAAGATATCAGAAAAAAGATAGAAATGTAAACACAAAATTGTAAGTGATATATATAGCTTAGTTGTAACCGTGGTTTCTTGTAGACCTAGCCATTCGGTAATTCAACCAGCCCTTTTTTTTTATTAAAGCATCTAATTGTTTGTATACAGACTTTAACAACTTATCGACACATGAGCCGTTATCAGTATTCTTGAGGCTCTTGCGTACATGATATAAACATGAAGAGTTCTTCGTGGTAGCTGCATATCCTGCACATGCAATATTGACCTGTAAATATTCATGACCACTAGTGGTCAAAGTAGTAGTACCTCAATTGGTCTTACACATGGCCCCAAAAGCCAATTCAACAATCAGCTTGACAGATAGGACGACATGTAATAGATGGTTTTATCCAAACAGATTTTATATTTATTTTTTAAAATGAGATGATTCAAACCTCTTCATCTGCAAGTTTGCAACAATTTGAAATCTAATTAAAAGAAATTATCCATCAGATGTATTGTTTTATATTAGCAACCATTGAAATCTAAACCCCATCGCACAATCAAGATTCAATTCGGTGTTGAAGAAGAAAACAATGAATCACCCTCTCGCGATTGAATTAGGACTTTCATCTCCTTATTATTATTATTATTTTATTTTTTTTCACATTCACAAGAATTGAAATCAACCTAATGTCCAGTACGTTGTGAAAGGGGGAGAGAACTTTTAAACTACTCTAACCTACGGAAAGAGAAATTTAAATTTGAGTCTAAAAGTGTATGCACACTGCATAGTTTTGGAAATATTATTTTCTACTAAAATCCACACACACAAACTATATATATTATGACAATTTTCGGCTCCATACATGTAGGGAGCCATGCATCCTTCCTCGAATGAAAATGTGGCAACATTTTATTGTATAAATTTCATAATCGAGATTGTTTTTTTTTTTTATTTATCATTGTCTAAAGATCATCTCTAAAAAAATTTATTCAATTTAAAAGCTATTTAGTCATCATAAGTGTCGGATAAATCTAAAAACGATCTTTAAATAATGATAATTAAGAATGGATGCGATTATGACTTTTGTATAATAAAATAAGGAACAGCTTGATGTAAATAGAAATTGGATTATTTCAATAAAATAGAATAATGGAGAGACGTTCAATAAAGGTTATTTGTTGTTGCGTATCACCAAAATTGAGGTATTTGATTTTTGAATTTGTTCAAGTTAATGTAGCTTTGATTATGTCAGTTTTGGGACGATATAACACATATATCGTTCGAGTTAATTGTAGCTTTGGTTTCTCATGTCAATAAACTACAATTATCATCGTAATCATGCTATTTTTTTCCACTTCACGATAATCCATATCTTTTAGGTCTGGGTTCTGCCACACAATAAGAGTAGATTTGC